CTATGGGGACACGAAGGGCTGCAACGGGGCCACGAAGGGCAGCGAGGGGGCCACGAGGGGCTGCAACGGGGCCACGAAAGGCAGCGAAATCCCGATTCCTAAATCGTCTGTGAGGGGGTCCTAAGCGTGAGCGCGATTCCTGGTTGCCTGAGTGTCGGGAGCGCGGCGCTTGAGCAAATTGCGGGAAATTCCAACGCAAGGGCGCTATTCTTGAGTAAACTGCAAGCAAGTCTCCAGCGAGAGCGCGACTCCAGAGCGCCGAGAGAGCGATTCCTGAATAAATGGCAAGGGAGTCCCAATCGAGAGCCCGATTCCTGAATTACATGCGAGGAAGTCTCGGGCGGGAGCGGGGGTCCTGGCTAACTTGTGAGGCGGTCTCAAGCGGGAGCCATTGTTGTTGTAACCCAGGGGCCAACAACGCATATTGAGGAGGAAAGCTTTCCCTGATAAACAAAACAGGGTGCGAGCGCCGGGAGGGGCATTTCAATTAAACAATGCAATGTGCACCGGAGGGGGGATCAACAATAGTTATTCCTCAGTAGTGGGAGTTCAACAACAACAACAACAACGCAACAAGCATAATCCTCACCACGGATCCCCACTTCAGCCACGCACGCAATGACAATGAATGACCTCGAAACCGGAGTTCATTGTCGCGCGTGCAACGGGTTTGTTGGGTTTGCCCAACGTCTGCCAGCGACGCTGCTCTCCGATGATTCCGTTGATCCAGAGCGCCTGTCTACTGATCCGGTCTATGATTTCCAGACCTCCCCGCCTGTTGCGCCGGAGGGGGCTTCCAGCGCGACGACGCGAAGTTCGGGCATGCTCTGGCTCGCTAGTGCGGCAGCCTGCCTGCCACCTCAGCGCCGACCACCGCCGCGCCTGCAGCGGCCCTCTCTGCGGATGCTGCAGCGGCCCTGCCTGCGGATGAGCTTGTTAAATCGTGCGTCTACAGCGACCGCAATGTTCAGGTGGGGCGATTTGTTAGGGGCGCTCGAGACTCCCGAATTTGACATGTATACTGCTCGTCGGTCCGAGGCTGCTGTCATGGACTTTCCGAGATCATTGTTCATCGAGAAGAAGCGTGCCGAGGAGGAGATCAACATCAACCCGCTGCCTGGGCATTTGAGAGAGCGCGTCGCTGGCCCCAAAGGCAGCCGACGGAAATAATGGTCAGAGGTGCACGCTGCTGGCCCAGACGGCCCTAGCGCCGCCCGCATTCATCGAGGAGCTTCTGCTGCAGAAATCCACCGCAAATATCCACAACGCGCCATCCCATCTCGCCGGCATGACAAGTGGAAAGACAAGGGGGCTGACCGCGATAACAGGCTGAACGGCCCGTCGGTGCCCAAGAGTTACGGTGCGATGTGCAGGTGGATCATCCAAGGGTTTCGCGGTCCTGACATCGCTGTATCGAACCGTGCTGTGCGCGCGCCATCGACATCGACCTCGAGTGTTCCTCTTGCTCTGCAACTTTTGCCCTCTATCAAGGCGAAGACCTGGGGCGGCGATGTCAATCCGTTTCTACGCAGGGCCTGCGGAGTCAGCGAGAATTTCTTTTTTGCATCACCCCCTGCGGGTGGTATTCCTGGAGAAGACCCGACATCTCTTTATATACATATATATGATCGTGAATGAGTTGCGGACATAATGTCGCTGCTCGGTTACCGGCCCTCCAGGCTGGCGGAGAAGCCTCCTGGCAGTTTTCAAGGCATGCGGTTTTACTCGACGCCCTCTTGCATCGCGCGTTATTCGATATAATAGTGTAAGAGACAAATAGCGGGTGCAGAGTGTAATTTTCTGGGCTCGTTGCCCTCGAAACAGAAGGTTTGTTGGGGGTTTAATTTGAGACAAGGTCTTCGATGCCATGTCGCGCCTCCGCAAGCGCTTCAAGTTCGGAAAGCGACAGAATCCATGGATGATGCCATCGAGTGCGGCGGACGCACTCTGCGACAACATAAGAACTTCGATTTTACGATTGGGATGATTCGGTACCTTGCAGAAGGCGCGCGACCTATTCACTTGCCGCGCGGGCGCTGCAGGGGCCCTGAACTCCCAGCAACGCGTGAATAAATCGTTGTTGTGCGCGGAGTGCGTGCGTGCGCATGCGCGCGGGGAGTTCAAGTGGGCGCGCAGGGAAGGAATGCCCATTGGCAATGGAGACGCATCTCTACTGAGCAGCACCTGGCCCAAATCCAAAGTGTCCGATTGAGGCCAGTGCGGCTCTGCGGCGCCTCACGGATGCCAATGAGACGATCGCCGTCAAGTCCATGCCCTGTTCTCGACTTCGTTTGGTCGCCCTCTGCGACTCTGGGCTGGATATCAATGGCGCGGGACAGGGGCGTTCGCAGACAGGCGACATGATCTGCGCTGCAGAGCAGGACGTGCGCGTTGGCCAGGGGGCGGACGTTAGCATTCTCACGCGGCATTCTCACAAGACTGATCGCGCTGGAAGTTCCACTGTCGCAGTGGAGCCCAATTCTACGTCGGGAGGATTGGC